GATTCACAAAGGGGCCTTCCAGGGTGACACATTTCACATTCCTGGCTGTGACAGACTCGGGCACACACTCATCCCGGTCCCTTTTCTGCTAGTTCCTCCTATGGAATTCCAGCGCTGGAATTCCAGGTCACAGGGCCTGTCTTTTGGAGGTTCTAGTGTCTGTTGCTAAACTGCTTCCCGGGAGCGCTGGATATCTAGCTGCGGCCAGCGTGACTCACCTTCTAAAGAGGGCTGGTTGCATGGGTGCGTGGCTGTGGGAAAACTTCCCCCCACCGCAGCTGTGGGGCAGCGAGCACTCCCAAGACAGAGCGTTCCAGAGGGCTGCCTTTGCTCTATAAGTAGACACTGGAGGGACCAACACTCCCCCAAACCAAAAGACCTCAAGGAGAGACCCCACAGGGCAGGGTAGAACTGCCCCTGTGAGTTTCAGAGACTGAAACTGGTTATGGAAGTTGAACGGGGCCTCACTCCCCTGAAAAGCCGCTGGTGGTTCCCAACTGCTGGCCTTTCGGTTCACAGCCCAACTCCGGGGCTCCAAGAACACTCCCCCAGGGGACTGTCATTTCAAGATCAGAGTCACAAACATTTCCTGTGGTCACTTCGGCCCCTCGCACAGCTAATCCTGTCTCCCTTCTTTTGTCGTTAGCACAAAGCAACTGGAGGAGAGGAAGCTGTCAGCCACCCATCAAGCACACCAGAGCACCATTACCAATCGGTCCTGCGTGGTAATGAGATGGAATGTGGGGGAGCCATTATCAAGAATCCCTGATCAAGTTGAGGGCAATGGGTAAGGTTTGGGGCCAGGGGAGGATGCCCAGAGAGAAGGGAATGCTCTGGATGAGGGCCGCTGAGAGGAGAGGGGGACAGGGATACAGATCTGAGAGGTGGGGTGGAGAGTGGCGTCTTGGGGGAGGCTAGGACCTTACAGAACCTGTGGGAAACTGCACGCTGAGGCCAGCATCCGATGGATTTTGAAAGGCCTCTTTGGCTGCCTTTTGAAGACTGAAGCTCAAGGAACCCAGTGGTGGTGGTGGTATGAGGTGCCATCTACTTGGTTCTGACCCATAGCGATCCTCTCTGCACAACAGGACACAACGGCCTCACAATGGTTCCTGTGCTTGGGCCCATTGCTACAGCCACGGTGTCCATTCACCTCCTTGAGAGCCTTCCTCTTCTTCATTGCCCCTCCACTTAATGAAGCTTAAGAACCTTCTCCAGGGACTGATCTCTCCTGATAATATGCCCAAAGTATACAAGACGAAGTGAAGAAGCAGAAGTGCAGACGCCAGGGAGAAGCTGCAGCACAGGGCTAAGGCAAAGTGAAGGTGGTGGCTTACATCCAGGTGGGGAGTGTCAGACAGACCCGACCCGACCGGGGAAGGAACGCTCAGTCCAGCAGGTGGTGTCATGCAGCAGCTACTTGAAGCAGAACCTGGCCATGACATGTTGTTGGGCTTGGATGGAGTGGTTGATTGATTGACTCATTCATGTACGCATTTCTTTAACAAGCGTTAACAGGTTGCCTTGCATGCCCAGATTCGAGTTTTAAGGCTCCCAAGCAGGGAGTAAAAGTTAATTTCATTAAGGAGAATCCAGAGTCTTACTGATTTAGGGAAAGTCCAAAATGATGGCCTATTGAACTGCATCAAGTAACGTGACCCTGTTCTCAGGCAAAGCTAAAATTGGATCGAGTCACAGCTAGCTCCTTACAGATACGTCAGACGCAATTAGTGATTTGGAAAAGCGTCCTTTTCTCTGTGGTTAGACATTCCCGCCGCCACGTCTCTGCTTTAGTCGCACTCTTCTTCTGACAGAAGAACTTTCTCCACTTTCCCATTGCACGTGGCCTTTTCTGAGCCTCGAATCTGACTGATCTCAGCCCCAGCCACACACAAACGCGAGCTGGCATCTGTCGGTGGCTATTTGAAAGTCGTGGCAGCGAGAATTTGATTGGTTCGGTGTGGGTCGGTAGATTTCCCTCTGGCCCAAGGGTAAATGGACTGTTTCACAGTTGAAGGAGAGAGCCTGAGGGGGGGTGGGGGGTGAGGGATTGGGCAGACCAGGCCCCACATTCTGGGTGTCCCACCCAGATCCCACTCCCTGAGAGCAAGTCTGAGACAAGGTGTATTAGTCTAGGTACTTTAGAGAAACAAATCCACAGCAACTCATGTATAAGAGAGTTTTATGTAAAGAAAGTGTGCATCACAAAAACATCCCAACCCAATGCTGCCCAAGCCCACAAG